GGGGGGGCCCCAGCGCCGATCCGAGAACTCCGCGCGGACCTCCGAGTTTTCCCTAAACATGCTCCAAGAATAGTCCCCGGACTATTTTTGACCATGCTTGGATCTTCCCCCTGTGGAGGGACAGGCCCGACTTCACCCCAACCCCGGGGGCCCGGGCCCGCGCCCAAGATCACTCCTGCGAAGGGCCGCTCGCACGCCGGGCCGACGAGGTGCTGCCGGGCAGCCCCTGGGGGGGCCCGGCGAGGGGCCGCTGGCGGCCAGAGGCCACATGCCTGCCGGGCCCCCCTGGCCATCGCTCGGACGTCCATTTCCTGTGTGTTTTGTCGGTTTCGTGCGTGGCTTTTTTTCGCCAAGTGATCGAGGATGCTCCTCGATGGTTCTCGCCGAGAAAAAAGTGCACACCTCCGAGCGATGCCAGGTCCCAGAGCCCCGACGTCATGGTTCTTGTTCACAAAGCCGACCCCCGATCGGAAGCGTCCAGGCGGGGGGGCGCCCAAGAAGGGGGGGTCGCAGATATCATGGCCCGAGGCACTTGGTCGGCCCAGAGGGGGGGGGGAGGGGACGCATTCGCATTGAACTGGGACGAGGCACCACGGAATCGGTGGAGGTACCATGGTCCTGCATATACCATACCCCCCCCCCTAGTCATCACCCCCCTCGTGGCAGCCCCCGACCAGAGGTCTCGACCCATTCCCCCGGACCCGTCGTTCATCCTCTGTTGTTTTCGTTCCGGACGGCCCCGAGGCCTGGCAGGGGCCCCCAGAGGCCGAACATAACGAAAAGCCTCCCGCCGTGAATTTGTCATAACAAGGGATATGTCGACCCCCATCCCAGGCGTCGTGGGGTTTTCGAATGGACCAAAAAAATTAGGGCCCAACCCTGGGATATACGAGGGGAAGCGTGCATGCTCGATAGGGGTGCGTCCGAATAGCCCCCTGGGGGTGTATCCCAGGGTTTCCCTCCTTTCTGAGCCGGTCCATTTTTTCCTCGAAAAGTCGGGGGTTGGGATAGAAGCATCGCATGCGATGTCATGTCTCGAGGGTGTCTGGGCTGTGAGCTGCTCGCGGCGCGAGACCCCGAGGCTCGAGCGCCGCAACCCCTCCGCTCGCCGGGCGCTCTCTCGCCTCCGTTTGGCGGGCCCCGCGGGGCCATCAAGACGGCCGACGTCAGGCTCGCCCTGACTCCGGATCCGCCCTACTTTGGCTTTTCCCCAACTTTTTCTCCGACTTAAAATTGCGTCGGGAATCCACCTACTCCAGATTTCGTAATAAAAGGGAGGGGGCCTCAACCCTCCCAGACGAGAAGTTTTAGACCCCCCCCCCGTGGGAGAACCCTCCAAAACATCGTCCCCAGACCCCCGCAGGCCCTCCAAGATAGCCTGGAAGAGACCCCCCCCGAAATGAGACCCCCCTCCCTTTCTTACGAAATCTGGAGTATACGAGGCCGAACAAGTAGGGCGGAAATTTGGGACAGCTCGGGTGGTCATGCTCTGCGACGTCGCAACTTTGTTTGTCCGCGACGTCGGGCCCCAGGGGAGGAGGAGGAGGAGGAGGAGGAGGAAGAGGAGGAGGAGGAGGAGGAGTAGGAGGAGGATGAGGAGGAGGAGGAGGAGGGGGAGGAGGAGGAGGGGGAGGAGGAGGAGGAGGGAGGAGGAGGAGGAGGAGGAGGAGGAGGAGGAGGAGGAGCAGAGGCAGAGTGAGGAGGGAGGAGGAGGAGCAGGAGGAGGAGGGGGAGGAGGAGGAGGAGGAGGAGGAGGAGGAGGGGAGGAGGAGGGAGGAGAGGAGGAGGAGGAGGAGGAGGGGGAGGAGGCAGAGGGGGGAGAGCCCGGCCGGCATGGCCACGTCTCCTCGGAGGAGGAGGAGGGGGAGGAGGCAGAGGGGGGAGAGCCCGGCCGGCATGGCCACGTCTCCTCGGGTCCAGGAGCTGCGCGCTGGCGCCGCGGGCCCCTGCGGCCCTCCGGCCCCGGGATGGGAGGCAAAGGGAGCCATCCCGAGGCACGTGCAGAGAGTCGCGCTGCGACGTCGTCGTGGGCACAGCGAGGTCGGAGGCCCGACGTGTCCGGAGCGTGTCGAGCAGCTCGCCCAGGAAGAGCCCACGAGGTCCCCGGTGTGCCCTGGAGGCCTCCCTGGGGCCCGCGGATGGGAGGCCAGCAGCGCCCGAAAGCCTGGATCCCCGATCCCCGAACATCAGAGATCGACGAGGACGATAACGAGGAGCAGGAGGAGGAGGAGGAGGAGCAGGAGGAGGAGGAGGAGGAAGAAAAAACTAACACTACGAATTGTGATAATAAAATGTCAATAACAAGCCGAATCATAATTAATACTACTACTTCTACTTCTACTTCTACTTCTACTACTACTACTACTACTACTACTACTACTACTACTACTACTACTACTACTACTACTACTACTACTACTAATAGTAATAGTAATAGTAGTAATACTACTACTATCAATAATGATACGCATAACAATACTACGAATAATACTGATACGACTGATATGACTAATGACAATGGTGTAATAATAATAATGCTAATTATCACCATACTAATAATCAGAATTGCACTAATAATGATGATGGCAATGACAATCATAATACTCAGAACAACAGTAATACGACTATAGAGAACCATATTAAGACTACACAGGGAAATAATGCTACAAACCAGATAAGTCTACGAATAAGAAGAATCAGTTTAAGAAGACGAATAAGAAGAAGAACAATAAGAATAATAACAAGATGACGAAGAGGACGAATAATGGGAGAAGGAGAGGGGATGTATAGAAAGGAGAAGGGGAAGGAGAAGCAGCAGCCGCAGCAGGGAGGAGGAGGAGGAGGAGGAGGAGGAGGAGGAGGAGAAGGAGCAGGAGAAGGAGGAGAAAGAGGAGGTAGGAGGATGAGGAGCGAGGAGGAGAAGGAGCAGGAGAAAGGAGGGAGCAGGAGGGAGGAGAAGCAGCAGCAGCAGCAGCTCAGCAGACAGGCAGGAAGAGAGACAAGAGGAGGAGGAGGAGGAGGAGGAAGAGGGAGGAGGAGGAGGAGGAGGCAGAGAGGAGGAGGAGGAGGAGGGAGGAGGAGAGGAGGAGGAGGAGGAGGAGCGGGAGGAGGAGGAGCAGGATGAGAAGGGGAGGAGGAGGAGGAGGAGGAGGAGGAGGAGCAGCAGTAGGAGCAGGAGGAGCGAGCAGGAGGAGGAGCAGAAAGAACGACGACCAAGATCCGGTCAAATCCGTCCTCTAGGACCCCTCCTGGGCCAGTCTTCGTCGCTGTGTCGTCCGGATCGACTGTTGGCGGCCCCGCGGGCCTCTGAGGCGGGCCTTCGGTGGCCGAGCACGGCGAACGAAACAAACCTCTGACGTCCGCCGGTGAGCTGTCTTTTGGCCTGCCAGGGCCCCAAGAGGCCCTGGCCGTTTCCGCGGGGGGGAGTGTCCTGTCCCAGGCCCGTTGTTGCTGCTCCTCGGGCCCGAAGGGTGCCCTCCGAGGGCCGAAGCCAAAAACGCGCACACACAGACACAGACACAGACACAGACACAGACACAGACACAGACACAGACACAGACACAGACACAGACACAGACACAGACACAGACACAGACAGACAGACAGACAGACAGACAGACACACACACACACACACACACCACACGCACACACACACGCGGGCACCGTGCTCCCAGCGGAAGTGCCAGCTGCGGGCACGCCGAGGGACGCTCCCCGGCCCCACGAGCGGCCCCGGCCACGGCGACGAGTCCCCCCCCCGAGGCCCAGGCCGCAGGGGCGCGGCCCCCGAGGACCGGAGCACCACGCCTGGGCGCGCCGGGTGGCCTCATAGCTCGACGCCTCGACTGATTTTGACCGCGTAAGCGTATCTTGACGTGTCGACTCAGTTCGACGTCTCGACTGTGTTCTTTCGGCGTCTCGACTGTGCTATTTTGACGTCTCTCGACTCCTTTCGACGCCTCGACGGTGTTCTTTCGACGTCTCGGCTGTGCCTCTTGCCTAAGCAGGAGGACGAGGCGCCGATGGAGGCTGCCTCGGCGAGGCCGTCGCCCTCTGGAGGCGGCGTGCCCCAGGCGCCTGGAGCGTGTCGAGCAGCTCGTCCAGGAAGGCCTCATCGTCCGCGCTGAGCGCCATGTGCCCGGACGCCCGCGGCCGCTGCCGAGAGCCGTCTCTCCGCGAAGAGCACCGCTCGGGGCCGTCCGCCCGCGCTGACCGAGACGTGACCTGGGGAAACCAAAAGGTACGGGTACCGCTGCTCCCCGGATCTGCGGCGCGCACCAGGGCGCAGAGGGGGGGCAGGAGCTTTTTGGAAGGAGGCTGCTTCTCAAAAGGCGCTGGCCATGCAGCCCTACATCTCCACGTCGGTCAGTCGGAGCAGGTATGAACAGGAAGTAGGAAAGGGGATAAACTAGATTGGGCTCAGGCCCTCCCCGAGAGTGACAGAATGCAGCGTTCTTGAAGCTGGAAAACGCTGTTGAAGTAGACCGGGGTCTGGGAACCCAGCAATCACTACCTACTTTCAACGACAGGCGTGCACAGACAACGCCCGGCCCTTCTGAGAGACAAGGGTGCTTCTGAGAAGCCACCCTGCCCCCATCTGCGCGTGGCCGCCCAGACCTCTCCTGGGGAGCGTTCCGGCCAGAACTGCGAGGCGATTCTGGCCGTGGCCTCTCTGGGCCTCCCAGGAGGCCCAAAGACGCGAAAACGAAGGCTGACCCCGACTGGACCTCTCCCAAAGGGTGCGTCCTGACCAGAGCTGCTAGGCGAACCAGGCCGTGGCGACGAGGGCCTCCCACAGAGGCCTCCCAGGAGGCCCGGAGAGGCCTCCGCCGCGAGGTGGCCTCCCAGGAGGCCTCCCGCGAGGTGGCCGCGCTAAGGAGCAGCCCCGCCCGCGCGGAGGGCCATCCCGCCGCCCCGCCCGCCTAGCGCGGGGCTCGGAGAGCGCGGGGCGCCCCGCCGGCCGAGCAGCACCGCCAAGGGGGCGGGGGGCGGCTCGCGCCACTGGGGGGGGAGGAGGAGAAGGAGGAGGAGGAGGAGGAGGAAGAAGAGGAGGAGGAGGAGGAGGAGGACCAGGAGTAGGAGGACCATGAGGAGGAAGAGGAGGAGGAGGAGGAAGAGGACGAGGAGGAGGAGGAGGAGGAGGAGGAGGAAGAGGAGGAGGAGGGGGAGGCGGGGGAGGAGGGCAGGAGGAGGAGAGAGGAGGAGGAGGAGGAGAAGGGGGAGGAGGAGGAGGAGGAGGAGGAGGAGGAGGAGGAGGAGGAGGAGGAGGAGGAGGAGGAGGAGGAGGTGCGGCCAAGCAACCTGTCGTTCATTTTCGTGTATCTGGTCAGCGAAATGCTGTCTGCCCTGCGGCGGCGGCCTACGCACTTTTAAAACAACAAGTCCATCATCGCCTCTGCCCTTGTCGGGCTGTGAGCGGAGGGCCTGGTTGAAAATGCAAAACGTCCAGTGAGGGCGGCAGTAAGGGCGGCTGGGCGAATCCAACGCCTGCTGCCGAACTTGAGCCAGAACGGTTACAATACCTTGCTGGGGCGCTTGCTGAGATCTCTTGAAAGTCTCAGACTTGCAATCTACTATATCGTTGGGATGTGTTGTTTTCATCCAAACTCAGGGGCGCGCTCGTCTTCAAACCTGGGGGGATCTTGCGGAGGGCCCATGGGGAGGCCAGCTGGGGTTCGAACAATGTCCACAGCGCTCACTCAGCCTGCTCACTGCAAATCATGACGATGAGCCTCGGCCACCTCTTTCTCAGCCTGTTGCGCCATCCCTTTGGGGGCGCCATCAGGGAGGGGCCCGAGTCAGGTCCTTCAGGCGCGTGATCCAAAGCTCTCGATGCTGCAGGGCCTGCCGGGCGGGGCTGCGACCCGTAGTCGGTATTTCCTCGGGGGCAATTTTCCCACGAATCACCTGGAGTTCTCCGTGCTGCTATCCCCCCCTCCCCCGAGCGCGCAGGACGCGGAGGGGGCGCGCCTTCAATGTGCACGGCAACGCGCGGCCGAAGAAACGAGAGGCCTCCTTGCAGGACTAATCGCATGCCTGGCAACAGAACTGCTCAACCTGGCGCGCGAGACTCGAGCGTTGCTTGCCCAACTCCCGGGCCGAACTGGGCGGGGCCGAGACCGACGCACTGGCTTGTGCATGCGCTGGCGCGGTGTTGGGCAGCAAAGGTAGCAGGGCCTCGGCCACGGCCGTCCAGAGCTCTTCTGGAGCCTCCGCCGGCGGCGTGGGCCCCCTCGGCGCCGTCGCGACCCGCTCCGGCGGGCCCGAGGAGGCGGGGAGGTCGGACGGAGGGGCTTGGAGGCCCTCCGCGGCCGGCCGACCTGCTCGCTGACGGGAGGCCCCTCCGTGTCTCAGGATCGGGGAGTGCTGGATGCCCTTCAAAATCCCCCTCCCCAGACCCCCTCGCGTCGTGAAAAAATCACGACGGGAGGTTTTTCGCCATTTTCGGCCTCCGGGGGCCCTCGCCGGGCCTCGGGAGCGTCAAAAAACGACTCAGGACGAAGAACCGGTCCCGGGAAGGGGTCGGGACCTCTGGGGGTCGCGTCGTGAAAAAATCACGAAGTCGGGGGTCTGGGTCCTCCATCTCCAAAACCTCGTCAGCCTCGGGGCTATGAAGGCCCCCGAGCGACGGAAGACTGGCCCAGCTTTGTGGCCCCAGGGCCTCCCAGCGTCGGCTGAAAACGCGCCCTGCTCCTTCCGGCGCGGTTTTTGTTTCCTTTTCTTTGCTGAGCGGACAGAGCAGAGGGGGAGGGGGCGGCGGCGGCAGCAGGGCGAGAGGAGGTGCGCATTGTCAGATCGCGACGACTGACTGGCACGGGCCCCTTCCGAGCTCGCCCCAGATGCACAGGCGGCGCGAAGGGCCAGGCGCGCGCGAGGGCTGGCCCAGTCTCTGCTCGGAGCGAAAGGACATGGCAGACGCGGGGCGCCCAGGAGCGTTTTTTTTTTTTTTTTTTTTTTTTTTTTTTTTTTTTTTTTTTTTTTTTTTTTTTATTATATATATATATATATTATATATATATATATAATATGTTCGGCGATGACGGGCGTCATGGGGGGGGAGGGAGGGCGGGGGGGGGGTATGACGTGACGCCCCCTCCCCGCCGTGTGGCTCCGGCACCACAGCCGCGCCCGCGCGCACGACGCGACGACCGACGAGCGACGAGCGACGACGACGACGCGAGCAGCACGTAAGTGGCGATCTGCCCAGTGCGCCTGTGTGCACCACAACGCTCGCGTGCACCACACCGCGCGTGTGCACCACAGCGCCTGCGTACACCGCAGCAGCCGCGTGCAACGCACCGCCCGCGTATACCACAATACTTGGGAACACGACAGCGCCGGTGTACATACACCGCAGCAGCCATGTGCAACACAACGCCTGTGCACCGCAGCGCCTGTGCACGCCACGACGCCTGTCTACACCACAGCATCCGCGTGCAACGCAACGCTGGTGTACACCACAGTGCCTGTGTGCATAGGACAAGTAGAAGGAAATGTCAGGATCTGATGCGGACAACTACACGCCACGCCAGAAAAGTTCTGATAATCGAATGCGACGTTTTTCCTTCCTCCCTCCTCCTCCACCTCCACCTCCACCTCCTCCTCCTCCTCCTCGTCCTCCTCCTTCTCCTCCTTCTTACCCCCTGTCGTGCGGTTTGGCGCTACAACGCACGTGCGCATGTCACCGTGCACCGCAAAATGGTCGATTGAATCGGTCCACTTGGTTCTCGGACGGCCAGTTTAGCTGGAACCTCCTGGACGCAACTGGGAGTTAGGGTGATACGGGCGGACTCGGGGGGACTCGTAGATTCCAGCGGCGCTCCTTTGTCCATGAGCGTTGGTTTTCCATTGTTTTCTCTGGAACCCACACGCGCTCCATCTTGTCACAAGGCTTCCTTCTGAAATTCTATACACAACAATGGTGCTGTGTTGCACACGGCTGATGTGGTGCACACAGGCGCCGTGGCGTACACAGGCATTGCACTGCACGCAGGCATTGTTGTGTACACTGGTGCTGTGTTGCGCACGGCTGATGTGGTGTACGGAGGCGCTGTGGTGTACACAGGAGCTGCTGTGCCCGCAGGCACGGTGGCACAAATTGACGCTGTGTTGCACGCGGCTGCTGTGGTGTACATCGGCGGCGTGGTGTACACAGGCGCTGTGGTGCACGCGAGCACTGTGATGTACACAGGCGTTGTGGTGCGTATCGCCACCGACATGTTCGTGCTACCCGTCCTCCGTCATTCCTAAGCATTCCCAGACGCCGCCGGCGCGAAACGTGACGTCATCGACCCCCTCCCCCCACAAATGATTGCCGTCATCGGCCCGGACTTAAAAACAGGCTCCACCCGCGTCCGCGCGCACGACGACGATGAGCGACGAGCGACGAACCACGAGCGACGACGACGGACGACGACGACGACGACGACGACGACGACGACGACGACGACGACGACGACGACGACGACGACGACGACGACGACGACGACGACTGCGGACCAGACACCTATGCGGATTCCTACGCGGACACCTACGCGGATCCCCATGCGCACGGCGGCAGTGCCCGGAGCGCACTGGGGGGGGGAGCGTGACGTCATAGGGGGGGAGGGGGAGGGGGGGAGCGGGAGCCAATGACGCCCGTCATGCCCCAAGCAATAAAGAAACGGGCTCCAGGGCACTGGGGCTGTTCGGAGACCGCCGCAGGGAGGTTCCGGCTGCCAGGGCCGAGAGCAGACAGCAGTCAACCAGCGGCGGCTCGCAGCCGCATCTGAAGCAATCTGGGCCCCTACACGCTCCTCCTCCTTCTCCTCCTCCTCCTCCTCCTCCGCCTCCGCCTCCTCCTCCTCCTCCTCCGCCTCCGCCGCCTCCTCCTCCTCCTCCTCCTCCTTCGACCGACGCGCGATCTGGGCCCCTACACGCTGGGCCCGCCCCGACATCCAAAAGGCCGCGGGGGGGCCCGCTCCGACGTCCAAGAGGCCGGGGGGGCCCTCCGCCGTGTCTCTGAGGAGGGCACAGGGACATTGTGCGCGTGCACGGATGCAGCTTGACCTCAATGGCGAGTTTAATAAGGCTGGGGATGATGAAGCAAACTCGTGGGCGCAGTGGTCCGCTTCGCGAGTTCAGCTTGATCGATCCCACACGGTCGCCTTCGAAAGCAAGGCCACAGCCTTGGGCGACTGTGGAAAGTGGGTGGTGGGTGGCCAGGGTCGGAGCTCGCTTCGCCGATTTTAATCGGCGGTGGACAAAACCTCCCTTTAGTAAACCTCCCCTTAGTGAAAACGGCCTGGGGCCGAAATCGACGGACCTGGACCCGCAAAAATGACGGCCGCGACGCCCTCTCGCGAACCGAAAACGGCCAATTCCTTAATCGACGCGTCAGGGTAGGAGGTCTGTCC